CCTACGGTGGAGCTATCTCCCCTCCTCTCCATCTGTGTTTTTGATGACGGAGAAGCCCCTCCCGACCATGCTGCTCCGACTTCCCCTTCTCGCCGCCGAGATTGAGGCCCACCCGGGGGGCTGCTGATCCAACAAGGGCTACTAGCCAGCCAGCCAGCTACCTGAGCAACGGGAGTTTATGTTGATAGCGTTGATCTCGTTAAGCAAATTGAAACAGTTATACGTGGCTTTAACTTAATATCTTCTTGAGCACTTCCAACACAAACAAATATTCATCTACACTCGCTAACTAAGAATCAAATGGTTAACCACAAATTACGTAAGACAGTTGGGCGGGAGAGTAGATATTTAGGCGGCCCTACAACACAGTTTTGCCTCGGCACTCGAGAATAACCGTGATGTCACTTCATCTGTTCAGAACGGCGTCCACCATGGATAGCAAATGCAGTAATGCTTAGACCAGTCTTTCTCGTCGTTGTCTGTAATATAATCCTATCTATAATACTAACGGCTGTGTGGCTGACGGCGGAGTCCGAGGGTGTGATCCAAGGCACAACGGGAGGAGTATAGTCGGTGACGCGATCGGCGAGGGCTGCTCCTCTATCATTGTTTAATTTAGTAACTTTAAACTAGCAAGCTCCATTGCCGGCAAATAAACCAGAAAGATTTGAAAAAAAACCGAGCCATATAAGAAAACTCGAAGAAGACAGCAACTAGAGCGTGATAGAAGACAAATCACTGCAAATGGGGAGCCAGAGAAAAGCAAAATGTGTTACCGACAGAAACAAGGAAGGCTGGAAGGGATGTTTCTGGCGTAGCTGCTGTCATCAGACAGCCATGACCCAGACTGGAGAGCATGACAATCAAGCTGAGGCATTCAGGGCGTCCAGAGGTCATGCGCCGTTGATCGACACCCTGATTACAGGACGGAATAAGCGTGGTATATTTCTGCTTCGCGGGTAACACGTGGTCAGAAATAACCATTTTCACCCTACCTATCGGTTGTCAGTAAGGCCCCTTGAATTGCCACCCGTCACTTTACCACCGCCTGCAAGGGCACTAGGGCCAAGCCGGACGCCCCTATAGCGTTC